GCAATGCTGGTGTTAAATTAATTTGACAAGAAAAACTCGCTGACAATTTCTGGCTACATTCGATCGTCGCGTGCGATCGAACAATAAGAATCCGATATGGTCCGATATACTTGTAATACAACTACAAGAATCTGACTTGGCAATATTCGAGAAAAACGGCGCGTCAACCAGCTGAATTAAATCTTGGGTTGTTTGATTTGGGAATAATAACCAATCGGTAAATTTGCTTAACCAAAAAGATTGGTTAAATTAACCTATTTTTATTGGTCGCAAAATTTGACCTGATAATAATAGGTTATTTTAACTAATTTAAATCGGTTCTAACCCATTCAATTGGTTAAAACAACCTTTAATTATTGGTTACAACCTTTAGAAATAGGTTGTTTTAACCTATCAGTTTTTACAGTATATATGTAACAGAACTTACATGTTGCTTCGAAACGAATGCAGAGAAATCAAGACAATATAAGCAAGCAAAGTACAGGACATTCCAACAAGATAGTAAAGACAAATGGAGAGGCTTTCAATTTTTCTCGATCGAAATAACTTCTCTTGGAAGTGTAACATCCCACTTTGAAGATATAAAAGTGTTATATAAGGGAACTAATATTAACTTTCAAAGGATGATCTCCAAGTGTATGGAAGTGGCCATGAGGGCTTCCTTCTACATTTATATACGGCGGAACAAAGAATGGACGAACCCTAATATACTTAAATTTTACTAATGTAGACAACTATGAACATTTAACTCCCTGTTTTCTCAGTGGACTGCCGTGCGTTTACGCAGAAGAGAAACACTTGAGTTGTTTTTATGACTATAGTACATTACATCAGTTCTATATACAGTAGAGTAGTTCTAGTTAGTAATCTCGATCTTTTATATACTTAAATGTTAGCAATAAATCCTGTTTCCATTATTATTATTATTATTATTATTATTATTATTATTATTATTATTATTATTATTATTATTATTATTATTATTATTATTATTATATATTGAGACATCGAGAAGAGACACATTTATACATGCTCTGTATATGTCAATGGTTTCATCGCTGATTTCGTATTTGAATCACAGTGTTTCTTAATAATTCTTAATATTGTTCATCACAAAAAGATTTTCATTTTGATTCGTTCAAGCATTATTGCTATGTTATCGATTTCCGTCGCTTGTTCGTTTTGTGGACAAGACTTCGTCTCGCCTTGTCGCCATTCGTGGCGATGTAAACAACGGATTAATCACGCTGAACAAGACCGCCCTAATATTACATCGAGAGAAGTGCCTGTTATGCAGTCACCTAATGTTCCTGTACCAAGTCGCACTGTTGTTAAGTGTTGTTGTGGTAAGATATGCAAAGGTGCGCGTGGCCTTAAAATGCATCAGCATAGTTGTCAAGTGATATATGGCCTTAACGGGGAGCTGTCTGCTGATCTTGAAGAGCAAATAACGATGGATAACACTGCAGATACCCCTGAAAATGACAATTCTATTAACGACATTGATATGACTAATGACGAAAGTTTTCCCGAACTGAAACAAGATATAAATTTACCTAAAAATGACTCTGGGTGGCAAACGGCTAATGATTATTTTAAATGTGCGCTACAGTTAAATGATCCAATCAGAATGCAAGACGTATAAACTCAAATATCAAGCTTTTAAACGACGTTATTTATAACTACATTGCAGATAACTTTGGACATAACGAAACAGTACCTGAGAAAAATATGGTTACTAAATATAAAGAATATACTGTAAAGGAGTTAAAGAAAGCTTTGCAAAATTTAAAATCCAACAAAGGTGACCTTAGGCCCGGTTTAGACGCCGTGCTTTTCATGAGCCGAACTTTATTCATATTTTACTCGAGTAAAATAGGCGTACTTCCAATTTTGATTTAGACAGGCGTGCTTTTCATGAGCCGTACTTAATAATTTGCGCTGCTTCACTTCGAAACCTGGGGCGAGTGACAATTCATAATAAGAAAAAAAGG